AGCAACGCCGAAGCCTTTTGCGTGAGTCGCAACCGCTACAGCTTCAATTACATCGCCTTCGAGCAGCTTGCGCAGCCACCCTCCACAGCCAGATGCCTCATCAACCAGTACCTCCGAGCAGCAAACATTCAGCCTGGAGGACGGCAAGTTCTGTTCTGACGCACAATATTACATATGAGACCTATGCATATGAGACCGCTTCCTCTGCGGCGGCACCTTTTTCTGCAACAGCCACGTCGCTGGGACTCGCAGCGTATGCCCGGGCAGCCCACAAAATGAATCAAGTTACGTCGTCGCGCTTGCAAGTGCAGTTTGTCAGTGCAGCCAGCCCATGCCTTTTTTGCTCTTGCTTTCTGTTAGCGTTTGTTGTTAAGGTTTCGATAGTATACGCTAGCAGCATCCGCGCAACATGGCATCGCAATGGAATGAGCAGTGGGTACCCAGCTCTTGGGCGGCAAGTTCGTGGTGGCAGACCCCGCAGACTTCCCACACGGCACCGACGTGGACTATGCCACACCACCGCCGACAGCACCAAAAGCAGCAAACCTTCCGCCAGCTCCGTGGCCGCCAGCGCCTCCATCGCGCAGCAATCCCCCAGAGCATCCAGCGGATCCTCGCCCAGCTCGTGTGCCAGTTCCCTCGTCCTTCAAGCAAGATGGGGAGCACTACGACGCCAACTTGGTCTTCAAATCCACCCTCCGGAAGACCGTGGAGCCATCCGCATGGAGTCGAGCCAAAGGACTTGCAGGCATGGATATTCGTGACGTTACAGTTGCCCATCTCAGCAGACGTGGCTTGGAAGAATATGGAACTTCGCCCCCTTTCTCACGGGCGATTTACGGGGCTTATTCTCACCCGCAACGTCGCCGAGACCGTCCTCCTCTCGCAAATACAAAAGAGGCTACGCGAAGACAACATTGACGTCGACGCCACCATCGAGGCCATTTACAAGTCCAAAGACCTCAAGCCGCCAGACAAAGTGAAGGAAGCTACCAACTTTGTCACGCCATTGGTGGACGAGATCTTCTTGGCTATGAAGCCGTGGACTCAGGTCAAGAACTACGGGAAGAACTCTGAGCAGGACAACCAGGTCGCGCAACGCATGCAAGAGCTCGAGGAGGAAGCCCTACAACGTCATCAAGCAAAGTGGACAAAAGCCTCCGACGAGCATGACCTCCATCAAAACTTGGGTCATCAACCTCAAGAAGACCATGCCAGCAGCAAGCACAAGGAGCTGGACCAACACATTCAGCAAGTCCACAACCTGCTCGAAGAGGGCCAGTACACCAAGGTGCAACTCCAGGAGATGGCCACACGGTGGGGACTTCCAATCTCGCTTATTACGGCAACAGCGGCCTCCCCCAGAACCCTACAGCAGCTCATTGCAGCAGTTACCTTCTGGCTGTCTGAAAGATGCAAACTATTCTGCATCAACGCCTCGTGCACCGAGACGGCGACCAGATCTTCAGACAGCTGCAGCAGGTGGTGGACTGGGCGCAGTTTTTTGTTGTTTCATGCCCCTGCAATAAGTAATAAGGATTTGCCTATTTGGCTTGTAGGACTTGTTCACT